TTCAATCTACCGAACAAACGCACGAATGAATAGACCACCTGGGAGCTGGAGTGTGCCGGCAATTAACCTCCCTGAAGCTGCGGTCAACCGCAGCTTAATTGACGGATGCTGGGTGGCCGCCATTCGTATCCCGAACACGAGGTCGCGACCATTTTAAACGCCTCTATTTTCATGGAACTGAAATCGGATACAGTTTTGCGCGAAAACTTCGGTAGTTTTGTTTGAATGTGTTATACCCCAGATAGGAATCCCATGGAGCCCATTCGTATGAAACTGACTGTAAAGACTTTGGCTCCATGGTGATTAAACTGTATTCGTGTGGTCTGAGCTCCATTCGCTTAATAATGTGTGCTCAGACCTGAGCTATCTGGGGATATGTTAAATGTATAGTTTTAACGTAATGTGTCTTACATGGTGTATTTTAACAGTAATTCATGTTTTAGTATCCCCACGTGCATAATGGCGATTTGCCTTTGTCTTGGGAGATAATTGAATTACTTCTCAATTATCTCCCAGGGCAGAGGGGAGGAAGCCAGGATGCATTGTGGGAATATATTGTGACTGTGTGTCCTATTTGTCTGCTTGTCTGTCCCTTGTCACAGTCTCCCATTTGGTCCCTTAGGGGAGTGTCCACCAGGTGGGAGACCTGCATAAATACTGGGCAGGTAGCCCTCATTAACCAGACCACTGCTTGACCCTCAACACGGAGCCTTGTCTCGTCTTTGGGGGGATTTACTGAATGCTGATAGAGACTGATTGCTAGGAGTGTAAGCTGCTTGGATGCTTTTCCTATTCGTCTGGTAGCAGCAATTCGTATGGTTCCTGTTCGTCTGTTTGGAGTGCCATATTGGATGCCGTTCGGGAGTTTGGAGCATTCACTTATTGGCGATTCGTGTGTTTGGTGTTCTGCAGTAACTGTGCCTGCATCTCTGGAAAGGGGGCCGATCGCCTAAACGGTTTTAACCCCTTGTGTGCTGAAACGGTCCGTTACAATTGGTGGCAAGCGGCGGGATCGTTCCCACAGACAACAGGACAGCTACAGGAGACCTCATTCCATGGAATTTACAATTTGAGGGCAACGCATGTCCCAGTACAGCGGCCCTGACAGCACCAGGATGGAACCAGCAGTGGCGTACAGCTACTCTAGGAGAGAGTTTGATAATATGATGGAATTGCGGCTGAAGTTCTTTGGACCCAATCCAGCTGAGAAATACATGCAGTCCATGAGGAACCTAGTGTTCATGAATCTGCAACACCGGGCAGAAAGAGAAGGTCAGCTGGCACGTTGGGAAGAACTCCAGCGGCAGGTACTGCAGGGAATTGGGAGCCCAGTCTCCATTCCCCAGCGGCAGTGTGATATGCAGGGAATTGGGAGCCCAGTCTCCATTCCCCAGCGGGAGATATTGCAGGGAATTGGGAGCCCGAGCTCCATTCCCCAGCGGGAAATATTGCAGGGAATTGGGAGCCCAGTCTCCATTCCCCAGCGGCAGGCTGAGTTACAGGGGACAGAGATAGTTGCCCCTGTCCCCCAGCAGCAGAATGAATTGCAGGGAATTGGGAGCCCAGTCTCCATTCCCCAGCGGCAGTATGAGTCATTGGGAATTGGGAGCCCAGTCTCCATTCCCCAGCGTCAGAATGATTCATTTGGATTTGGGAGCCCAGTCTCCATTCCCCAGCGGCAGAGTGTCCTACCGGGAATAGAGAGCCCCGTCTCCTTTCCCCAGCAGCAGGACTCTGTATTGGGAGCAGAGACAGTCGGTCTCCCTCCCCCGCGGCCGGAAGTATATATGGGAGAGGAGCTTGTTACCCCCTCTCCCCAGCGGCAGCTTAATGTACCAGGGGGAGACAGTATTTTATTTTATTTAGTTTGTAAAATGCTTCCAAAATTAAACAGAATAACAAAATAAATAACAAAATAACAATAATAAACAATCAACTGAAATAATACCCAATTCAAACATAATACCAAATGAAACATAAATACCCCAAATTTAAACATAAATACCGAAACAAAAACTCAGGAAGGGGCACTAATAGGGGAGTAAACTTATACCAAATTAAATAACTGAGAATAACAGGGAGAGGGATTAACAGAAAAGGGGGGGGAACTAAATCATAAGGGGATAAATTAAAAGGCGGGGGGCTCCATTACTTCATGGAGCCTTGGGGAGGGAGAAAAAAGGCTGAAATGCTCCTGAAGGAGCTCTTACATAACAAGGGGGGGACAAGGGGGGACCCAATTGACCTCGAGTCCACAGCCAGCTAAACACAAACATAAACCAAGCGTGAAATAAAACACACATACATAAACAAACCCATTACCCACATGGAGTCCTTTTCTCAGTTCATAAAACCCACCAACCACATGGAGTCCATCCCTCCGTCCATCAACACCAACCCACCACCTACACTTTAAACCCAAACTTTAAACCCAAACCCACCACCCAAATGGAGTCCATTTTCAATTCATAAAACCCACCACCCTCATGGAGTCTATCCCTCCGTCCATCCCCCAAACCCACCACCTAAATGGAGTCCTTTTCTCAGTTCATCACATCCAAACCCACCACCCACATGAAATCAAAATTTTGTCCATAGACCCACCACCCACATGAAATCCAGCTTGTACACCACCCTCAAGGAGTCCATCCCTCCGTCCATAAAGAAACCCAGTGTTTTTTTTTTGTGTGTTTTTTTTCCTTTTTTTCTTTCCCCACCCAAAGTAAATTTTTCAATTTGTCCATACACCAGAAACCCACCCTAACCCAAACAATACCAAAAATAACCTGTGCATAACCATAACCATAACCTAACTACACTGCACTACCTAGACGCAGAGGAAGGTACTCGTCTGCTAAAGGTGGCAGCCTTCCATGAAAAGAAAAAATCTACGGGGGAAAGGTGAAGACAGATTTGGAATTCACTTCACCAAGACAAGGGCGCCCATGGAGCGGTTCAAGGCGGGTGGACCTTGAGATTTCGCCACAAACGCTGCCAAATGGTGGGATCCATAGAGGCCCTTTCGGTGGTATAGATCCCACGAACCGCCCTCAGAATGTCTGCTACCACCACCTGACAGGAAAGGTCTTTACGTTGAAGGGAAACCTGACACCTTGCCATCCAAGTGAAATACTTAACCACTGAACTGACTACATAAAGAGTGCCCAAATCAAAAGCCCTCCCCCTTGAGTTGGACGTCCCGTACGCCCACTCCGCATAAGTCCAGCGGGATAAGCAGGGGATGCCTAAGGCGGCTGAGACCTCTTTGTAGACCTGTACGTTAAAGGGGCACTCGAGGAGGAAGTGGTCCATGGACTCCACTTCCCCGGAACATTCCACCCGAGGACAACCACGATCCGTTATGTTCCTGTACTTCAAGTTCCCTCGAACGTAAAGTCTACCGTGGAAGGAGAGAAACGCCACGTCTCGGTATTTCTCCGGAAGGCGCCTGGAGTTGATGTTTTTCAACCCCGAGGCGAGAGTACTTGGCGGGCAGTCCTTCAAAGCAAGCTGAATGCCAAAGTGGGTGGCCAGGACCCTCCCGTCGAGAAGCTTCTTGGGAGTGTCCCGAACCTCCTCCACCGTGACGTTCCACCTGCGCAGAATTCCCACTCCCTCGATGACCGAAGACGGAAGATAGCTAGAATGCCGAACTCTCATGCTCTTCACCCTCCCACCCTGAAACCAGTCCACCAGGAAAGGTGTGACCCACTCCCTGAATATACATACCCAGCCAGGCTGCTCATCCTTCAGGAGAGCCCCAAAGTTCCTTTTCAGGAAGTTGTTAGTTAAAAAGACGATGGGGTTGACCATGGCCAGACCCCCGTCCTTTCTGGCCAGGTAAGTGACCTCTCTTTTGATGAGGTTCAGCCTGTTCCCCCACAACATGCGGAAGAACAGCGCAAACATCCGAGCGTGGAGGGACCTGGGCAAAAGGAAGATGTTACTGACGTAGCCGAATACGGTCAGAACATAGGTTTTGATTAGGTTCACCCGTTCTCTGAACGTCAGTTTCCACCTGTGGCTCTCCTCCACCTTGCTAGAAGCTATGGCAAGCCGTTCGGTCCAGTTCCTGAGAGCCAGATCCCCTGGTCCGAACACCACCCCCAAGATCTTAATTTCAGGCTGGGCCCTCGGGAAACCGTCTGGAAGAGGGAACTGGTCCCCCTCCTTCCCGCACCAGAAAACTACGCTCTTGTCCCTGTTGACACGAGAGGCTGAAGCGGCAGAATACGCTAGGATTAAATCATCCACCTCCGTGGCCTCCCGAGTATTGGAGACCACTATGGAGATGTCATCAGCGTAGGCAACAACCCGTAAAGGCCTCTCCGGAGCCCTGGCCACTCCCTGTAACGTGCCTGCCTCGACCCTTCGGATGAAGGGATCGACTGCAAACACGTACAAGAGTGGGCTGAGAGGACAGCCTTGCCTGACCCCGGATCGGATCCTAAACGTCCTGCCCCTCCACCCGTTCACAAGAGCGAAGCTTTCGGCCCCTCTGTACAAGGTGATTATCCAATTGACGAATTTTCCCGGCAAGCCATACTTCCGCAAGACTGACCACAGATAACGGTGATCTACTCGATCAAAAGCTTTGGACTGATCAAGTGCCAGAAGGTATATCCCCCTTTCTCCGTCCCTGCACTTCTCGAGGGCTTCCCTGACTTCGAAAACGGCATCAAAGACAGTTCTGCCCTCGATTGAACAGTACTGGGAGGTGGATAGGACACGCCTCGCTAGGCCCTGTACTCGTTTCATCAAAATCTTTGCCAGGACCTTCCTGTCGACATTTAACAGGGATATGGGGCGCCAGTTCCCCACATCCGCTGTGTCGAGCACGTTCGGCTTGGACAGCAAGATCAGGGCAGAAGTCCTCATCGAGGGTGGCAATAATCCTTGAGCCAAGCTCTCATTAAACACCTCGGTCAGATGAGGGGCCAAGAGGTCGCAGAACTGTTGGTAAAACTCGGCCGTCAGACCATCAGGACCTGGCGACTTACACTTGTTCTGCTGTTGGATACTCTCTGTGACCTCTTCTATGGTGATCTCGCTGACCAACTCGTCAAAAGAGAGGTCGCTATGCTCAGGGAGCGTGAGCTCGCTCAAGAAGTCATCCACCCTTCTCCCGTGGGAGGTTCCCTCCTCGCTACATTGGGGGCTGCCCTTTCCGAGGAGCTCAATATAGTAGTCGCGGACCACCTTCAGAATCCCGCGAGGAGACTCCTCTAGGGTCCCGTCGGTGCCCCGCAGACTAGGGATGGACTTGGTACCTTCCTTCCACTTGCAGCTAAGATAAGGATCGGGCGAGCGGTATGACCCATGATCCCTCTCTTTTACAAGGGAGGCGTACCTGTCATACTGATAACTCCTCATCAGGTTTTTAACTGCCGCAATGTCCTCGGGGTCACCTCCCTGCGAGATCAGGATGTCTAACCTCCCAAGCAAGCCCAGATACATCTTGTACCTGGAGGACTGCATGTTCCGGGCGAGATTGTGAAACAGCCGTTGAGTTCTGGCCTTCACCATCTCCCACCACTCAGACTTCGTTTGGCCTAAGTCGGCCAATGTCATCTGATCGTGAAAGAATTCCATGAAGGCTTGCTGAACCCTCTGTTCCACCAGGAGGTCTGAATTTAGCCGCCAGATCCCTCTACCCTTAGGTGGGGTACTATAGACGTTCAACTCGCAAGACAAAATGTGATGGTCGGAGAACTCCACCGGTGTAAGCACGGGTGCCGCCACCGGGAAATTCTCCTTAAAGAAAAACCTATCTATCCTACTCTGACAGCTACCTCTGTGATAAGTGTACCCACCCGTGGGATTGGGAGTGTGATGAAGGTACACATCGACCAATCCAGCCTGACTAACCATCTTATTTAAAAAATAGGAGTCATACCCCAGCCTCTGAGTGGCGTCTCTCCTGTCTTGAGGCCTAGTTATGGTGTTAAAGTCACCGCCAAACAGGATTTGCTGGGATGTATAAAGGTAAGGCTCTATCTCAATAAACAGGCGCTTCCTCTCCCACTTAGATTGGGGGCCATAGATATTAATTATCCTGAAAGGTTGCCTGCCCATTGAGACATCTAAAACCACACACCGTCCTTTTTGCAACTCAATAACCCTGTTGATGCTAACATCAACGTCCTTAAATAGGATGGCGATTCCCCCATATCTCTCTGTGGCTAGAGAGAAGTAGGAGGGCCCCCATCTCCAGTCCCGCTTTGCAGCGTGCAGGGCCGCGAGGGTTTCCAGCCGGGTCTCCTGTACCAAGATGACATTGTACGGAGCCCGGCTGAGGTGGTCGTAAACCAAAAAGCGGGCCCTGCTGGACTTAATGCTGTTTACATTCACCGTAGCCACAGAGAGTACAGGAAAAGTCGCCATAAGGGCATTAAGTATAAGGAGACTTTCCCTTCCTTCTGCGGTACCCCTCCTCCTCCGTGTCGGAACCGAGGAACCTCTTCACTGAGACTCCGGGATACAGTGGCCCGTCGTCTCTCAGAAGCACCTCCTGTCCCACCTCAACCCCTGCCACCACCTCGGGGAGGTTCGCCATCTCCTCCTCGTACTCACAGTCGGCCCAGCTGGAGGACAGTGCCTCGTACCTGTTAGATACGGGCACCGGGGCCTCCTGCAAGCCCGAAGAGGAGGATGACGCCCGTGCCACACCACCCTTATAAGTGGCGTCTCCCCCTTTCGGGGGTTTCGCCGCAGGGGGTATGGCGATCTTCCGGGGTGAGGGCAGCGTCGAGGTCTTGGAGGGGGGGGGTTTCTTACCTTTCACCGTGCTCCACTCTAGGGACTGTGCATCTAAGGGACGTGCATCTGGGGATTTTTCAGTGGGGGTAACCTTCACCGTGGAGAATTTAGGAGGGGGGGGCCTAGGGGGAGGGGGTCTAGGGGGAGCCATAATGGCTGTGGAGGTAGTGCGTTCTCTACGTACACTTTTCGTGAGGGGACGTGAACTTGTGGCCTTCCCAGGGTCCTGAGATGTTACAGAGACCGAGGGGAGGATGGGTTGTTGCTGGGGCAGGGAAACCCTTGTGCCAGAGATGGGCCTTGTAGATGACGATGCTACCTGAACCCCTAACCCAGCAGAGTCCATCTCCACCGGCTCCTGACTCCAGATGGACTCTACATTGTGCTGGGCTTCGGGGCAGGTGCGGTACGTGTGACCCATCTCTGAACACAGATGACACCGGATCTCCCTGCAGCTGTCCCGGAGGTGCCCCACAGCGCCGCACATAGTGCATTTGAGGACCGTACAGGCATTGCTGTAATGCCTGTACGATCCGCACTTGTGACATACCCTGGGCTGACCAGGGTAAAAACAGGATACCCGGTCAGCCCCGATGAAAAAACTATTAGGCATATGCTGTGTGACACCTCGAATCTCCCGCAGCAACACTGAAACAGTCCATCCGCCTGTCCAAATCCCATCCTCATCTAAGATCTTAACAGGGGGGGATTTAACATCCCCAAACCTCTTAGTCCAAACAAGGATGTCTGCTATGGGGATGGATTCATTTCTCACCAGGAAAGTGACCTTCTTAAGACCCTGGCGAGAAATGGCCACAGCGGTGAATCCTGCCCACTTTGTACCCTGTGCAGACCTGGCCGCTTCCCACCCAGCCCAGAAGCGATCCAGGAGCTGCGACGTCATAAAGGAGACGAACTCCCGGGTGCCCGAGGCATGGATGAGCGCGTACAGGTCCACGGGCGCAAATCCCATATCCTTTAGCCGGGTCACCAGCCACCGTCTGTCAGGCACCTGGGTCTCACCCCCACAGATGAGCCGTACCACGTTCCTCCTGTTCCCAAAGGAAACCTGAGGACGCGTAGCAGGCCCGTCCGCAGAGAGGCGAGGTGGCCCAGATGCCCAAGCATTGGGCGCACCGGGACCCGCCGTCTGGGAATGATTCGGACGGACTCCCCTCGCTGAACCAGAGGCCTCGGTCACACCAGAACCCTGGGTGACAACCTGGGAGTGCCTAAGGGGAACCCGTGTACCTGCTTGTGCGTCTAAACTATTTATAACCGCGGCACCCTTTGTCAGGGTGCCTGTGCCCGTGCTCGTGCCCGCCACCTGTGTACCAACTAACTCCAGTGAACCAGGGGCAGGGGCAACATAACCTGAGGCGGGGGCAACATAACCAGGGGCAGGGGAAACAGTACCAGGGGCAGGGGCAATAGTACCGGGGGCGGGGGCAACATAACCAGAGGCAGGGGCAACAACACCAGGGGCAGGGGCAACAACACCAGGGGCAGTACCAGGGGCAGGGGCAACAACACCAGGGGCAGGGGCAACAACACCAGGGGCAGGGGCAACAACACCAGGGGCAGGGGCAACATCATTAATACAAACAGGCTGGCTGTGGACCTTTTTACTAAGGCCAATAGGTCCCATCATTACATTTACAGTTACATCCATACTCCCATCCTCCTCAGCCATCCCTAAACCACCAGTGGAGTCAAACACAATGTTAGTCATACTTTTCTTACCTCCACTGGCGGTTTCCTCAGTATGGACTGCTGGCTGAGGATGATGGGAGTCCCCTGCAGTCCTGTCTTCCATAGCGCCAGCGGCACCCGCGGCACCCGAGGCACCAGGAACAACAGGGGGACTGGTTACACATGCAGACATAAGGGGAATACATAGGGAAGCAGGGGGAACAGACTGGAAGACAAACTTGGACACATCCAGGGAAACAGACTGGGGGACAAACAGGGGAGGAGACTTGCTGGTAGGGGAGAGCAGTCGAGCTTGCTCCAAGGGAGCAGAGGGAAAAGGAGGGCCATCACCCTGCTCCAGACTGCTCCATCCAGTACCATCCTGCCCAGCAGCCGCCTGAGGACAGGAGGCAGAGGTACCAGCCACTCCAGGGGACGCAACCACACGGAGAGGAAGGTCAGAGGGAAGGCAGGTAAGGGAGGGAGTGGGAAGGGAGCAAGGGAAGGACCCCTCCATGGGATCACCGGTACACGCCATAGTACCGGCGGGGATGGTCTCCCTGTCACCATGGAGGGCGGCGGGGGGCCCAGATACTTCCACAGAGGCAGGTTGTGCAGGTTTCTGGGGCATACAGGTGTTGCCACCTGCAGGGTTAGTATCCCTGGCCCCAGGCTTCTGCAAGGCCTGAACATCATCATTGTACATATACTCAGCATTTGAGCACTCACCCTCCTCTGTGGAATCTCCAGACCCCCTGACAGAGGTCTCAGGCTGACGCCGGGCGATGTTTTTCTTTTTCTTCTTTTTCTTCTTTTTGTCCTTTACGGAGTCCTCCCCAAGTTCGTTTCCAAACTTGAGGAGAGACTCCTTAATCAGCCCTCGACCTCTGTCCTGCACTTTCAGCTGCCACTCTTCACCTTTCTCTCCGTCCCACTCCTCTTCACTGTCCTTCTCTCTGGCCTTCCCCTCCGTCTCAGCAGCGCCCCCTGGAGTAGCAAGGGCAGAGGTAGACGGCTCCCCAGGTGAGTGATGGGAGTTGGAATCCAAGTCCTTGCTGGACTCCTCACCTGGGGACATGTCCCTCCTGCCCTCCATAGCCCTCTGCCTCCTGGACCTCGCAGCGTCCTTGGCTCTCTGTTGCAGGATGGCCTGGATGTCTGCTATTTTCTTTTCAGTCTGGAGCAGGGTGTAGGATAGATGCTGCTCCACTAATTTTTTCTCAGCTATAGCGGCCCTCAAAGGACCTCTTTTGTAATTAGAGGTCCTGTTTGATTTTTCCCTCTGCTCCCTTAGCTCTGCCTGGACCCCAGCTAGGCCCGAGTCTGCCTCGGCATGCTGGGCCTTCAGGGACACAAGCAGACCCCGGAGCCTGTCAGAAGGTAGCCCCATAAAGACCCTAGCCTCAACCCCCTCACCCTTTGCAGCCTCAGCATAGGTGAGGGAGGCCTGAGGGGCCTTGCTGGCACTAGCCACCTCAGGGGGGGTCTCAGGGACTACCTCCTCCTCGGTACCCTCTCCCACCTCCAGGGACGGGGGGGGCTGTTCTAGGAAGTGGAGGCCACTGCTGGCAAGTTCACGGCACTCAGCCAGCAGCCCAGAGAGCAGCTGGATATCGGCCCTGGTGTGGGCCGTAGCTCCCTGGGGGACCCCCACTTCCCTTTTCCATGCTGTAAGCTTCCTAGACATCCCCCCCGCCAGTTCCTCCAACAGGGAGACCTGGTTTCGTATTTGCCGGGAGAGGGCCTGATGCTCAGTCCAAGACAGGCCCCTGGTATCCGCCTTACCTTCCCCAAAAGCCAGCACTGCCTGCAGCTCGTCCAGCCTGACCTTCCATCCCCAGGCTGGGGAGGAAGGCCCGAGGGCCATGCTTGCCTAGGCCCAGGCAGAGCCCCTTGCTGTAGTAATTCCAAAGCCCAGAAATCGAGCTCCAAAGCAGCCACAAACGGGTGTGGTCCTGGGAACACACAGATGAAGCACAGAGCAGCTCCCTCTCCAGCAGTAATGGCAAACTCCTCCTACTCCAGTGGGAGGGGAGACAGTAAGCCCCACAACTGTGCAGATGGGACCGTGGTCT